AATGGACTTGTAGCAAAGGGAGTCCACCCAGCAATGCTCTCTAAAGGGAGTCCATCTACAATCAGAACAACGTGAATTCCGGAACCTGCAGAAACCGACGCTGACTTTTTCTAAACTCAAGATTATTTTGGGGGGGTGGGGGGAGAAATCTAAAAGAATATTTAGTGAAATATGTGGGATGTTTTCTCCACAATGTTTTTTATCAATAAAAGCACATGTAAGTGTTGAAATGAATGACTTATTTTATTGAACGATTTCAGAAGTTAAATTCTACAAGTGTTCTTTCAAAACCTTTAACCTGTGCTGCTATGAAATGAATTCACTATTTCAGAACCACCACAATACGTTGTGCAGTATAGTTTGATTGATGAGTATGGCATCTATTGTTCATGCAAATAGTTTTTAGGCTTCTGTTTATGGAATACGTTACAACTGACATCTGCTGTGCTCTCTATTTATTTCATATCCCTGAACATTTTTCAATTATGTTTCATTGGATATCAGTTGAGAAATATATCTTATTTTGTCCCTACCTCAACCTGGGACATCAGAATTACTGCTGACCAGACTAAGATCAGATCTATTTTAAAGTTGATATTTAAACCAAAGTCAAGTATATTGTTCCCTAATGCAAATGGTAAGAAGCAGAGATGTCAAATGTTTGAACTTAGAACATTACAGCGCAGTACAGGCCCTTCGGCCCTCGATGTTGCGCCAACCTGTGAAACCAATCTGAAGCCCATCTAACCTAAACTATTCCATTAGCATCCATATGTTTATCCAATGACCATTTAAATGCCCTTAAAGTTGGCGAGTCTACTACTTTTGCAGGCAGGGCATTCCATGCCCTTACTACTCTCTGAGTAAAGAACCTACCTCTGACATCTGTCCTATATCTATCACCCCTCAATTTAAAGCTATGTCCCCTCGTGCTAGCCATCACCATCCGAGGAAAAAGGCTCCCACTGTCCACCCTATCTAATCCTCTGATCATCTTGTATGTCTCTGTTAAGTCACCTCTTAACCACCTTCTCTCTAATGAAAACAGCCTCAAGTCCCTCAGCCTTTCCTCATAAGACCTTCCCTCCATACCAGGCAACATCCTGGTAATTCTCCTCTGCACCCTTTCCAATGCTTCCACATCCTTCCTATAATGCGGTGACCAGAACTGTACACAATACTCCAAGTGCGGCCACACCAGAGTTTTGTACAGCTGCAACATGACCTCATGGCTCCGAAACTCAATCCCGCTACCAATAAAACCTAACATACCGTGTGCCTTCTTAACAATGCTATCAACCTGGGTGGCAACTTTCAGTGATCTATGCACATGGACACCAAGATCTCTCTACTCATCCACACTACCAAGAATCTTACCATTAGCCCGGTACTCTGTATTCCTGTTACTCCTTCCAAAGTGAATCACCTCACACTTTTAGGTTTGAGGTTAAAGTAAAAAAAAGTAAATTTCCTTTAATTTCTCAGCTCCACTGCAATCTTTATAATCTCTTTTTCCATCTTTATATTGTCATTGTTGGCATCCAGCCATCTATGAAAAATGATGGACGTGCAACAGACAATCCATTTCGGATGGTGTATCTTCCAGTGGTGCACTTTTTGCAAGTTTCCGAAGAGGCCTATCCTTTTTGGATCAGTTCTACATGTGAAGCTACCAAGTGTGATTGTGGATTGTTTTCTCTGTGAAGCCACTTGAGGCATTAGTCAGTGTAGTGGTGCACATCTCTTGGTGTTGCCTTTTTCCTCCGTCATTAGCTAGTGACTCCCAGGTGATAATTAATAGAACATTGAAACATAAAAACATGGAGCAGGAGTAGGCCAGTCGACCCTTCAAGCCTGCTCCACCATTCAGTACAACTCTGGCTGTCGCCTAGCTCAGTCATATTCCCACTTGTACCCCTTATCCCTTGATGCCTTTAAAATCTACACGTTAATCTCTTTCTTGAGTATATTAAGTAACCTGACTCCCTCTGCTTCCTGTTGTAGAGAATTTGACCAGTTCACTATTGTTACTGTTTTACTGCAATTACAAGTTAACTGCCATGTTTGTTTTTTTTTGGGGGGGGGACAGGGGAATCAATGGGTTTCTCTGAAATAAAGTTTATCACATGTATTTGAAATCTTGGAGATGATTTTCAAGTAGTTTGTTTGAACAACAACTTGTACAACAAGTAATTAGGAAGGCAAATGGAATTTTGTCCTTCATTGCTAAAGGGATTGAAATTAAAAGCAGAGAGGTTATGTTGCAGCTGGACAAGGTGCTGGTGAGGCCACGCCTGGAGTACTGTGTGCAGTTTTGGTCTCCTTACTTGAGAAAGGATGTATTGGCACTGGAGGGGGTGCAAAGGAGGTTCACTAGGTTGATTCCGGAGTTGAGGGGGGGTTGGCTTATGAGGAGAGACTGAGTAGATTGGGATTATATTCATTGGAATTCAGAAGATTGAGGGGGGATCTTATAGAAACATATAAAATTATGAAGGGAATAGATAAGATAGAAGTAGAGAGGATGTTTCCACTGGTAGATGAAGCTGGGACAAGAGGGCATAGCCTCAAGATTAGAGGGAGCAGATTTAGGACTGAATTGAGAAGGAATTTCTTCACCCAGAGGGTTGTTAATCTTTGGAATTCCTTGCCCAGTGAAGTAGTTGACACTACTTCAGTAAATGTGTTTTTAAAAAAAAGGTAGTTTTTTTTGAACAAAGGAATTGAGGGATACGGTGAGAACGCGGGTAAGTGGATCTGAGTCCACGAAAAGATCAGCCATGATCTTATTGAATGGCGGAGCAGGCTCGAAGGGCCAGACGGCCTACTCCTGCTCCTCGTTCTTATGTTCTTATGACTGACCATCATATGTAAATTGTAGTGTCAGATTTCTGAGGGGAAAGGATTACAATCCTTTATGGATCTTGATGGATCAGGCTGTAGTCCATGGCTGTAGACCCTACAATTATCAGCCTACGTTCAGCTCTGAAATCATCAGAGATGCAAGTGTAATCACGAGATTCTGTTAAATCAATAGTTATAGAATCATAGAGATGTATAGCAATGTGCGACAACTACTAAAAACAAGATTTTCCCACAACACACTTTTATATTCGTATCAGTAGTGCTAGTATTTTAACTCGTACCAAATCCATCTATCACTCGTGCACAAAAAATTATTGTCCTTATTTCCAAAACCCTCTGACTTTGCCCATTCCCATCTGTCTAAAATCTAAGTTACCTGCATCCCCAAATTTTTGAATCCACAATTAATGGCTGTGCCCGCTCAGTACTGAATACTGATAGTTTCACATAGAATATAGTTTACCAAGAGCCAGGTGAATTGTAGAAAAGTGCAAAGGTGATTAAAGGCATAACCTTGATAGCCTTTCTAAAAGTGGCTTAGATTGGAAAGAGGGACAATCTGAAACCCGCTGGAGTATAGTCCACTATTACATGATTTACAGCTGGATAACAAGTCCCATGAGCTGTGGGAATTTGTAGATAAATTGCAAAAGTGGTGCCAGCAAGAAAGCACTGCTATCTTAAATGTGTTTCAGAAGTGAAAAACCACGATTAGACCCAACAGTGGAACTAGAAATTGATTTGCAGATACTAAAGTAAGTGATGGTTTAATTGCAAAGGAAGCAAGTATCTCAAGTAAGCATTAATCAAGGGAAACCAGGAACTGGCAGACATGGAGGAATTCTGTATCACTCTTCACAATACAACACACAAACCTTCCCAAGAATAGTGGAAACTGTAGGAACAAAAGCGAGATAGTGATTGACCTTTTGAGAGGTATGCACCTGCTTGCCTGCATCCGGGGGTCTTCAAAGCAATGGCTACAGCCATAATGATTATTATTTATAATCCTGCAAATCCCTGGACAGCTTGCACCATTTGAGAGAGAAAGGACCAAAGATTAGGGAAATAGGTCAGTTAGTCTAACATCTGTAATTGGGAAAATGCTGAAGTCCATTATTAGAGGTGGTTTAGAAGACCATTTTAAAAAGTCATAAATTTGGCTGTGAACATGGAAAGGGTAATTGTTTAATGGATTTATTTTCTTGGATGGTACAAGGTAGATAAAGAAGAACAAGATATGAATTTGGATTTCCTACATATATTTGATAAGGTGCCACAAAAACAAGGTCAGATGATCATATTCATATGGCAAATTGTGCTGCAAAATGTGCAGTGCTGTAAGGAGTTGGTACCGAACTATTTCCATGGTGACCTAGCGTAATGTAGCCAAATGTACTTCTGATACAAGATGGGTTGAATGCAAGTTATGAGAATGATAAATTGTAAAATAATGGCAGATGGAGGTAAAATGCTGCAGTACGTGGGACAGTACATCTTTGTACATGTTTCACTAAGATAGCAAGTAATTAGGAAGGCAAATTGATGTTGGCCTTTATTGCAAGATGAAATATGGAAATCCCGTTACAACAACAGGATATTGGTAAGACTACAACCTGAGTACTGTGTATGTGTTTAGTTTCCATACTTGAGTGCATACTTGCATTTGAGGCAGCTTGGAGTGGGTTCACTATTTATGACAACCTGTTTACTCTGATTCCTGAAAAGGTTGAGCAGAGGACCTCTCCTTTATTCATGTTCAAATGTTAACTCAGTAAAATTAAAGGAAACATTAGACAATTTGGGGTGGCAATGGAGGGAATGTTTCCCTTTGTAGGGTGTGTTGCACCCAAAAAAGTCTCCTAATTAAGATGACAATGAGGAATTTCTTCTGTCACTCCAACAATTAGGATATGTAGAAACTCTGCCTGGATAAGCTTTCCCCCACCAAAACTTTGGGAAGTGCATCATTCCTGAAAACGTTAAACTACAACAATACTGTTTGTCACTAGGGCTGAAGAATATTGGCTAAAATTTGATGAGAGTAACAAAAAAAACTGAACACTTCAATATTTTATTAAACAATTTATAAACATAAAACAAACCAGAAATTTGCAATTTGTGACAAAATATGCTTCAGTTGGTAACTTCAATTTTATTATACAAGCAGAACTGTTTATAACTTTAGAAAAGCAACATGAAACAAGAAATTTAGAAAACCTACACAAGTGGCACACTTCAGTAGGCAGTGTCGCCAAAATTGTAGGGAATTGTTATTTTTGCTCTCTTCAAAACTTAGCTTGGATGTCATTTTTCCCATTTTTGAGGTATATCTGGAGTATACAAAACACAGCTGAGACATCCAAATGTTTCAGCAAAGTTACAAACGTTAGCCATAAATGAAAGATTAGTCTCCCATAAGAACAATATTTACAGTGGAGATGAAATGTCAAAATGTACAACAATACAATTTTTTTCCTGACACCTTGGAATCATACAGCTCAAAGAAGCAAAATGAAGTGATGACAGAATCAATATCAATAGAACAAAAGCATCTTTGCATTTATCTTACTTTCAATATGTGATCAGGTGACTTCAGGCAATTATTCAGCTCCCTGAGTTGAACCATCAATACTGCAGAATGGCTTGCAGATATATTTCAGGCAGCCACATGGATGTTGTAGAATGTGTCAAATATCTTCACAAACTCCAAAAAGCTTTGGAAAATTTGGTGTCAAAGTTTAGTTTGTAAACTTGCAGCTTCACCCCACCCTGCCTCACAGCTTCATCTCTGCTGCTCTTTGCATTTCGGCTACCCGTAATAGGGCCTGTTTATCTATAGTTTCAGCTGTGTTATTAGAGATCTTACTGTCTCTGTAATGTCTTCAGATGCTACGTTTTAATGCAATGTAACATAATTCACTTTCCAACAAACCCTAAAGGCCCATTCATAAATAATTTACAAGATGTCTTTTATTTGCTGCTGATCACTGTGTTCCTGCCAGCCCCCACCCCACCCAACCCAATAGAAGTGTTGACTTTCCAATCAACTGATTCCCTATTTTAAAACCCCTTCCTTTTATGGTGTTGCATATGGTTGTTCAACTTGTCATTTTAAGTATTACCAATACTCAATACTCAACTAAATCTAGGTCTGTAAAGGTAAAGTGAGTAACATCTATTAAAGAGTAGGGTCTGGAGTGTCATTTTTGTACCACATCCCACAATTTATCAATGTTGTGACATTAGTAAATATCAAATGTACAGTAATCTCAGGGTTTAAAATACTTTCATTCCCTTAAACCTGACAAGCACTATTCTCTAGCTAATAGACTGGGTGGTCTCCTCACTTCCACTTTTGCTTTTAGGAAATATCAGCCCAGTAAGAAACAGTAATGACTTTTAACCATAGTGACATCCTCTATTAGTCCACTCTTGTTCTTATTAGATATCATGCATGTACACATAGACATCATAGCAAGATCAATGCTATCTATCACTATTCAATCAGTACCTTTTCTTCCCCTCTACTTCCTAGACCAGGATTGGGATCTCATCATATCTGGCTGAATCAGCTAACAACACAGATCAACCATTAGACCTGGGATCTTTTGGTTTGTAGAACTCAAGTAGGAACCACAGTGCAATCATCCACTAAGCCACTAGGGGCAAGTTTAATTATTTGATGAAATTTATATTGATGGGCAGCTACCAGTGTTGCAATATTAAACTTTCTCACTACAGTACCAGTAGATGGTAGGTTTCAGGTGAACTTTTTTAGTAGTCTGATATGCTTGGTTCTCCCATTTTGGATTGAAGAGGAAATACATGACCCCACATTCCAATCTGCTTTACCTGAGAAATGACAACAACCAACTAAAAGTGTTCAAAATTGGAATGTCCAGGTTTGAATAGATAAAGAGCAGAAAAGATTAATATGAAAGAAAATATTGGGAAAACTTGCTTCATATTTAAATCCGAATTTCTACTTCCAAAAGACAAACTTCCAAGAATAATCTACAATGATTAATGCATAAAAATATTTATACACTTCTAAATGCACTCAAACCTTGAATATTGGTAAACATTCATACTTACTTTATCTGGATGACACAGAATTCTAATTTGCACTCATGAGGAATCATGGTGGCATGTGAATTTGAAAAGGAAAGGAGTTACAGATTAACTTGAATTATTATCTTTAAACTATTCCCAATGCTGAACTTGAATATAGGATTTTTTACGAGGACAAAATGACAGACCTTTAAAAGAAAACTACTTGAAAGCCTCGAAATGGAAATTGCATATGACAAGCAATCGGTTGGACGGACGCTGCAGAGCCAGAGAGATAAATGATTATTGTAAGATATGGGACAAGGAACTGGGTTGACACAAGAAGCCAACCAAATACTGATTTGTTATTCAATTTTCCTGTCTCAGTTTTCTGCTTGTATGGAATAAAAGGAGTACAAAATACCAAAACTGGGGAGAAAAACAAACCACCCCAGAGTCACATTGAATATTTCTCTGTACGCTATCACAGTAAAATATATTCTGGTTTTGTTTAAGAAATTTTTGACTTGCTAAAAGGGAAAACATTTTTGGAATGTTTAATATGGTAGAAAATAGCTTTAAAATTTTTAACTTACTTGTATTAATGATGTTTGAATAGGGTTGCCTTATACCACACAGCCAATCTTTATTTATATAACAAGGATAGTGCTGTTGGCCAACTAGTTACATGTCACATAAACGTTAATTTTATTTTCAGTCACAAACACATTAAAGTACATGTAACCATTAGAATTATTTCTTTAAGGCAAATGTACTAGACTAACATTGCACAATAGGGAACGTAATTACAAAGTTTTGATCCTTGACAAAGTCCACACACACAGATACATTTGCACAAATATCATTGCAACACCTAGAGGCATACTTCAATCGGAACTATATCTTGCAGCATACACTTGAAATGAACATAGTCTGGTAAATAGATGTACATGGGTAATAGGTGAAAATATCTTTGTTGGTTCTCAAAATCTTTGGGATTTAAGAATTGAGCAAGAAGGGACAGTAAGTAGTTTCTTCAAATGGGCAGTATATCTTTATGATGCATGTTCATTAGAGTACATTTTTGGTTAAAGCCCTGTCACGTATACAAAATATCAAGTGGAACCAGATTACGAACCACACGGAGTAAAAGCCATGCCAAGCAGTAATAGAGCACTGTTGGTTGAAGCCTAGGATCAACTTACATGTCTAGCCTCCTATCTATCATATGGACAATGCATCCACACCTTTTAAAAAAAATTGAAAACCTCAAAGATGAAATAGGAGTTAATACAGGTTGACTCAAAATACAACACACTTGCAGAATTGTTCCAAGTAATCTTGCAACATTGTTGTGACATTTTTATTTAATCCATAAATAAACTAGCTTCCTCATGTAGAGAGAAAGAAACATAATAGGTTAGTTTCCTTAAACTCCACAACTTAATATTTTCAATTGTTTGGATGGATTGCTCAATTATAGTCACTCAAAAGCTGTTTGAATGGGAACATATTAGATAACAGCACTTTTGTCAGAGACAATACATGGGAAGGCAAAACAGAGCAAATAATCTGTCCCAGCCTTTTCCTGTATCTTTCACGACTGTTCACTTTCTATCGTGATAGTTATCCTTTTTGAACTTGCTCATTTAGATCTGAAGTTGTGAAGAACATTCAGTTTCGTTGTATTTCAAAAAGTACAAAACCATTTCAGACAAAGATCTCTTTAAGGCCACTATTTTGTCACTGTTTGCAGCCTTTTTTTAAAAAATCTACCTTTCTAAATCTTCTGCCACCATTTGAAAAAAAGACATCTGAATAATATACTTTGCCAGGTAAGACCTGTTGCAACATTTCAAACTACTTTCTTCATTGGCAGCTTGACCATATCTACCAGGTACTTGCAAGCAGGAGCAGCAGCATAGAAAAGAAGAGTAACCAATTTTCCGTGTGTCACTGTCATCAATGTTTGATGTCCCGATGCCCAGACCCGGTACCAGGAGCTGTAAAAAGGGTCCGATATTGCAGGACAAAGCATGTTGTTCAGATTAACTTCTGTGACCTTAAAAATAAAATAAACACTCAACGTTACAGTTGCAGAGAAAAGCACCATTAAAGAACTTTAGAATTTTTTTTGTTGTGCGGCATAAGCAAGAGACAGAGAAAAAGCAATTTAATAAACCAATAAGGTGTAGAGCTAGATGAACACAGCAGGCCAAGCAGCATCACAGGAGAGCTCGAACAGTTCATCCACTTCACCAACACCTTCCACCCCAAGCTTAAGTTCACCTGGACCATCTCTAACACCTCTCTCTCCTTCCTGGACCTCTTTGTCTCCATCTCAGGCAACCACCTAGAAACCGATATCCATTTCAAGCCCACCGACTCCCACAGCTACCTAGAATACTCTTCCTCCCACCCACCTTCCTGCAAAAATGCCATCCCCTATTCCCAATTCCTTCGCCTCCGCTGCACCTGCTCCCAGGATGAGGCATTCCACTCCCGAACATCTCAGATGTCCTCGTTTTTCAAGGACCGCAATTTCCCCCCGTCAGTGGTCGAGAACACCCTCGACCGCGTCTCCCACATTTCCCGCAACTCATCCCTCACACCCCGTACCCGCAATAACAACCAAAAAAGAATCCCCCTTGTCCTCACGTACCACCCCACCAACCTCCGTATCCAACGCATCATCCTCCGACACTTCCGCCATCTGCAATCCAATCCCACCACCAAAGACAATTTTCCCTCCCCACCCTTATCTGCTTTCCGGAGCGACCACTCTCTCCGTGACTCCCTTGTCCGCTCCACACTCCCCTCCAGCCCCACCACACCCGACACTTTTCCCTGCAACCGCAGGAAGTGCTACACCTGCCCCCACACCTCCTCCCTCACCTCCATCCCAGGCCCCAAGAAGACTTTCCACATCAAGCAGATGTTCACCTACACATCTGCTAATGTGGTATACTGCATCCGCTGTACCCGTTGTGGCCTCCTCTACATCGGGGAAACCAAGCGGAGGCTTGGGGACCGCTTTGCAGAACACCTATGCTCGGTTCGCAATAAACAACTGCGCCTCCCAGTCAGGAACCATTTCAACTCTCCCTCCCATTCCTCAGATGACATGTCCATCCTGGGCCTCCTGTAGTGCCACAACGATGCCACCCGAAGATTGCAGGAACAGCGACTCATATTCCACTTGGGAACCCTGCAGCCCAACGGTATCAATGTGGATTTCACAAGCTTCAATATCTCCCCAGTTAGGAAGGGAGACAAAAAGTTGAGTTGCTCACTGCGAAATTCCTGGTTTCTGAGCCACTTTTGTAGCCATAGTATTTATATGGCTGATCCAGTTCAGTTTCTGATCAGTGGTAACCCCAACGATGCTGATAGTGGGGACGTCCAGTGATGGTAACGCCACGGAATAGCAAGGGTGATGGTTAGATTTTCTCATGTTGGAGAGGATCATTGTCCAGCACTTGTATGGCATGAATTACCATATTCCTGGCTGACAGAGTGCATTACTAAGAGCACTGCCACACTAACAGTGGTGCTGTCTTTCAGATGAGTCATTAAAATGAGGGCTTTAATGTTTTTACAAAGATCTGTAGCTCGGGTTGTGGTTGGAGTTGTTAGTTGGTTTGCCGAGCTGACTGGTTATCATGCAAACATTTCGTCTCACCTCTAGGTGACATCATCAGTGCTGTGTGGCCTCTGTTGATGCGCTGTTGTTCTGTCCTGCTCTGAATTTATATGGTCTGGTCTGTCATGGGGGGGGCAGTCTGGTTTCCGGTTTTGTATCATAGTGGTATGTAGATGGTGTCTATTTCAACATGTTTGTTAATTGCATCGGTGGTTGAAAACCAGGCCTCCAGGAATTCTCATGCTCGTCTTTGTCTCGCCGGTGCTAGTACTATAGCTTTGTCCCAGTCAAATTGATGTCCTTCTATGTCGGACTGAATTGAAATGAGGGAGAATTGGTCATGCCGTTTTGCTGCAAGTTGGTGTTCGTGTATCCTGGCAGTGAGTTTCCTGTCCAATGTGGTGTTTCTTGCAGTTGCTGCGCGGTATTTTATATATCATACTTGTCCTGCTCATTGTGGGTATGGGGTCTTTCATCTTTGAGAGTAACTTGCAAAGTGTGGCTGTTGGTTTGTGTGCTATCCTTAATCCAAGGGGTCGTAGGAGTCTTGTAGTCAGTTCTGATGTGTTTCTAACATAGAATAGGGTGGTCAGTGTGTTGGGGTATACAGTGTCTTCTTGGTGTTGTTTGTTCGCCAGGCATCGGCAGACAAAGCTGTTAGGATAGCCATTGTTTGCAAAGACTCTGTATTGGTGTTCCTCTTCATGTTTGCGCGGCTCCAGGGTGTTGTAGTGAGTTATCGCTCTTTTAAACAGAGTCTTGACACAGCTTTGTTTGTGGATGTTGGGGTGGTTACTGTTGTAATTCAGGATTTGGTCGTGTGTGTAGTTCCTGTACACGCTGGTAAGGAATTTCCATTGTTCGTTCGTTCCACCATAATGTCTAGAAATGGGAGTTGATTGCTGTTCTCTTCTTCCTTGGTGAACCTGATCCCGGTGAGTATGCTGTTAATAAGGTGGTGTGTTTCTTCTAACTTTGCTCATTTAATGATCATGAAAGTATCGTCCATGTATCTAACCCATAGTTTAGGCTGGATCTGGGGGAGGGCTGTGTGCTTCAGTCTTTGAATAACAGCTTCTGCTATGAGCCCCGAGATGGATGAACCCATGAGTGTTCCATTAATTTGTTCATACACCTGGCCGTTGAAGACGAAATGTGTGGTAAGGCATAGATCTAGTAATTTTAGCATGTTGTCCGAGCCAATGCAATTAACTAACATGTTGAAATAGACACCATCTACATACCACTGCAATACAAAACCAGAAACAAGATTGCCCACCATGACAGACCGGACCATATCAATTCAGAGCAGGACGGAATAACAGCGCTTCAACAGAGGCTACACAGCACTGACAATGTCACCCAGAAGGGAGACGAAACGTTTGCATGAAAACCAGTCAGCTCAGCGAGCCAACCAACAACTCCAAAATGAGGGCTCTTTGAAATGAATTAAAATATCCTAAAGCCTGTTTCAAGGGAGAGCAGAGAAATTCTCCAGAGTGCTGGGTAACATCTATCCCTTAACCATTATCTCAAAAATATATTACCTAGTCATTATTGCATTGCTATACGTGGAAGTTTGCTGTGC